CTCTCCTATTCACAGTTTTGTCAGTTAATGGCTTCTCTACTAAAACAGAACAAGCTGTAACTGCTATGTACGGCCAGTGTAACTGACTCCACAGGAGCAGTTACATGGGCCGTACAGTTAGCGCGTGTTTCTTGTCTAATATCCGAGCATCACCCTGTGTGATTAAGCAAAGGACAAACAAAATCTATTTGCAGCGCTATTCCGTCTCATATTATGGATACAGAACACAAGACTGACGTTAACCATGTTTTCGGGGTCATTTACCGCATACCTACGAATCTCAATTTTGCCTTAAGTGTTCGATTATTAAATATTTCTGAGGCTGTGGGGATCCACATTAACAAGCCTAATTTATGCATCCAAAAGAAGTTAGTTCAGATATCATCAATACCTTGGCCATCCGGATTTGAATAATCCTGAATTTTTGTGGAATTTCCCTAATTTTAGTTGATATTCTAATCGCTATTATATCTTTATTATAATTTAAGCATCTTTAGTGAACTGTAATTGCATTGATCATACTTTACAAAACGATATTATTTAAAAAACACTAATACTGATATTAACTACTAATCTAGAATATTCTGTGTATATAAACATATATATATAACTGTGGAGACAGAAGAGTAATTTATCGAAAAGAATATTCTTTGCTCGATTATTTTGTGATTTATTTCTAATTGGTATACATCACCTTGTTGTGTTTACATTCTGATGAATCTGGTTTTACTTTTTTTGACTTAAAGTTGTTAATTATTTCTGTAAACATTAGTCTTGCAAAATATGACTGACTTACCTCTGCTTTTACCACTACTACCATAGCATATTTATCTCTACAGTGACTACTAGTGTGTGGATATCATCCCAGCACGAATGGTTATATAGCCAGTTTGTCAGGCTGATAACAGAGTCAGATGTATCAATTTAGACAGGGATATTTAAATCGGTATGTCTAACCCCTGTACATTTAACTTAGCGTGTGGTTAGGATCACTAAATCACCTTCATAGTGCTATGCTTCAGAAAAACTGGATAAAGGTAATGCCAGACATGCGTTTCTGAAGATTTTTAGATATTTTTGCCATCTCTGCTCTGTCAACAACCATTTTCATAGCACCACTCTAAAAAATCCCTGATATCCAGTAAATACCAGACCAATAAGTTGAAAACTTTCATTCAGACACTTAGAAAGCAACAATCTTAGATGGTTTGCGTTTCGCACTAAATGACTATGTTGAACCAAAATGCCAGATCTCCGCTAGCATGTCAGCTCCTAGCACGGATTCTCCGACGATGTTTGGGGATTAATGTGATGCTACTTTACTTGACAGTGACCAGCATTATAACCCAACATGCGGACTTTTTTCTGTTAGAGACTTGTGAGCTGAACTCCAAGTGAGTGATGGTATTCTCACTGAGACTCGAACCTTGCATCCATAATTTCAGATGTCAAGGTATTATCCACTGGATCACAGGTGTCACAAGAGCTGCTTCTTGAGCAGTTGCTATCACTTGTTATTTGCTTTTGTGTTAGTTCGTCAGAGAATCCATGCTAATATATATGACCTTTCTCGTAATATAATACCAATCAAATGTTGATCTGTTACCAAAAATACAGTGTGGAATCAAGCTGTAATCAAAAAATAAAAAAAAATAAAAATAAAAAATAAATATGGGACAGGTGAAAACAGTTTCAGAAACCGAGACAATTATAAGAACATCTAACAGAACCATATAGTTAATTCATAGAAGTAACAACAGTTTATAAGGTAGTAGCAATTAAGAAGAATGGGCGAATGAATCTTTCAGTAATGATATACGCGTTCGATCTTTACACACAGCAGAGGTAATTAGAATACACGTGACTTAACTAAATCCGTGTGTTCCAAAGAAGTTTGTACACTTTCTTTCTCTACTGCAATAGTCTACTTAAAAATACAGAATGTGAAAAATAACCTTAACCCCGTTTCCTTCCAACTTCCTACTAAGATTGCTATTATTTATTTATATCACTTGACCTTTTCACAAGTAACTTTTAGGTAATTATTAGTAAATTTCTTCACCCTTTTTTTCAGGTATGATTCATTATCTTTGAAAATACTTATTATTTCATATTTTCAAAAGAATGGTTACTGAACAAAGATTATTCTTTTCGATAACTTCATAATCCGGTTCTACAGTTATATTTACATAATAGTGAATGAATTAGTTTAAATAACATCGAATCGATAATAATATCAATGGATTACAGTTCCATAGCATCAACTTATTACTACCTTCTACTAACTAGCTGTATAATTGTATTAGATAGCCTAATCTTGTAGAGAATGTCTTGATTATGGTAATTGTTCCCGCCAAAACCAATATCCTGAAGCTGATTATCACTTATCAATTAACAGGTCATCGTTTGATTAATTTAATTCAGTACAACATAGGTTTTAAAAAGTTAGTGAAGTAAAATTATTATTCCCTCGGGCTCCTAGTTAAACATAGGACTTCAATAGTATGTCTCCCTTTCACCTTGTTCTCCACTAACGTTTTTGACTGACTTCAAGATTCACCACAAGCTTTCAGTTCCTCCTCACACGATCGCCACCATGTCACCCTTGGACGCTCAACTCATCATTTAGCATTCACGTTCCAATGGAAGATCTAGTGTATGATGTCACTCAAAGGTCTTTTGAATGTATGTGCAACCCATCTCCATTTACGTCTGCATGTTTGTTAAGTAAGAGGTTGTTTATTGGTTAGCTCCCGGAGTTCCTCATTGCTTGTTCATTCAGGTTAATCTTCTGATCTTCAAAATCGAGTGAAGGTAGCAGTTTTCTGTAAATGCCTTGTATGAATTGTGAACCCTATAGAAGGACTAACCTGACGTCAGTGTTACAGGTAGTACAGATCTTGTTCGTCTGATAAGTGCTGTAGATCTCCACACGGATTTCAGAGTATTGGACGTCTGTCTTGCTTTCCTGATCTCCAATGGCTAGCTTTGTGCGTCGGTAGAGCAGCGGTTAGGACGCTCGCCGACCATGCAAATGGTCCGGGGTTCGATCCCCAGCCACAGGATGCACTCCTTTACCTCGTTAAGCCAGCAATAGAGCTGGTAAAGAGGAAAGGTTGGGCATGAGGCTAGCAACCCTATCCTGTAAAATTAGACATTGCTATACAAACTTCAGGCCTCTAACCTGAAGCCCTGTGTTCCACCGGGAACGTGAAGGAAATAAAAAAATGGCTAGCTTTGACATTACTGCCCTTGCCGCCTGTGGTTGAAATGATGCTGCCTAGCAATGTGGAAGAGACGACTTGTTTTAAATTTCTGCCACTAATGACAACTGCTGTTAGTTGTTAGTTGGGTATTCTCATAACCTTTGTATTTTCTATTTTCACCTGAAGTCTCGTCTTGACTTTTTCCGAAAAAAGCAACGTCCCTTTAATTAAACAAGCTTTTTTTCCTGAAATTACATTCACACATACACAGAGGCGTTTTCATTCTACCGGCACCTTACGAAAGCTGTATCTCTTATAAAGCCTCCTGGTTATATTATTATTATTTTATTAACATTGTTACCTTGGGTTCCGATTACAAATCTTTTAATATGCAGAAACTGAGCTGACCTCTTGTTTTTCTAACATCAGTAGGCATTAGGTACACGAAAGTATTTCGTCTCACTGCCACTTCTAATACCGCCACTAGTGTCCTTCATTTCTCCCCTAGTGCCTTTTGATAAACTCCTTTGAGTACAGGAGTTGTAAAAACGTTGTACTGTGTATCTAAAGACAGGAACTTGGAATGTAGTTTTAAATGGTGTGGAAATTTACTAACACAGTTAAAGTCTTCTTCACGGTTTCTGCTCACAAAATTTGCTCAGGGCATGGTACATGGCTAATTTTGGTTATTCATGGTTATTAGATCCAGAAACGCCTAAGAAGACGTCAGTTACACATTCCTTGTAGATTTCCACGTATCAACGAGAAAATGCTTATTTGTTGAAATAGAGTACATTTAACTGATGGAATCCTTTAATATTTAGACAAACAACTGCAATTATTCAAACCAAAAATATTTATTTTCTTTTGGATGGTGTTATAACCCCAAGCCAACCCTATAAATGTGACTTACGTTATTTCATAAATTTTGAAAATTCTGTATTTTCAAAAGAATGGATACTGAAAAAAGAATACTCTTTTCGATAACTTCATCATCAGGCTCTACAGTTATATATACATTATGGTGAATGAATGAATTAGTGTTATGAACAACATTAATGTTGTTTAAATAACATCGAATCAATAACATCAATGGATTACAGCTTAATAACATCAACATAAAATAAGCTGAATATCAGACAAATTAGGAAAAATAATATTACAGAATTCATGAATATACAGGTTCAACAGAAGGCCAGGGCAGTAATAGTGGTTGGACTTGCTTGCTTCTTCTTCACACAAAGCACTGGTTGTTTCACGCGAATCACTATATCCTCTGATGTTTGGAGTATGAGATACCTGGATGTTTTGGCGGTTTATCAGGCACCCGGTAGATTATGGAGAAGGATTCTTCCACGCTGGCTGGCTTTGTGGCCGGCCGGTTTGCACCAGATGGTCCAATATCGAACTGTTAATGGTTTTAACTACACCTTTACTTAGCTACAGTCGGAGATGTTCTCGAGTACGAAAAATCAAGTTCCTAGAGCAATGGCCAGTATAACTCGCTCCGTCACAAGCGCAGTTGAATTTGTAGATACAATTTGAAGTAGCTGGTCTAGGTACTTCATCTTTCAGTCGAGGTAGCACCATTGGTCGTGTATTGAATAATACGTGTAGTTCTGTATTTATCATCGCATGTGTAACAATGAGCACGCATGTAACAAACAGTATTTCAAAAAGAAAGGTACTGTCGTCAGCTTCTCAAATGATGAATTTTTTTCGATACCCTTGAGTAATTTTTTTACCTTCCTTCATTTCTCTTACTAACTTCATCTGTTTCATTTTTACCATCAGCTTGTGGGTTTAGGATTAGTTGTTTTTGGTGCGTTAATAAGATGGAATGAAAAACTTCTTGTTGAACGAATCACTCCTGCAATTATTGAAGAGATCGATGATGAGAACGCACGTGAAGCTGCTCAACAGCTGGTGGAAGAAAAAATAACTCTATTCGGTAAGTTTTTTCCTCTCTTAGATAAGTCTACCCCTAGAAAGCATTCCAGTTGGCGTAATTTATGATGACATTAAAACACTGATAGTTATTTTGACTTTCATTTTTAGGATATTCGAAGCATAACTTCTTATCCAACTACGGAAATCCCGTCAACATCAGTATTCAATGTGACGACTAATATTTGAAGATTTATGTGCTAGCATCCTTCTAATTTGGTTGAGCTAATTCCTGTACACGGTGTACCTCTGTCATTTATGAGTAATCGGTAGCAAATAGTGTGTTTTTTCAACAGGAAGTCATGAAACACTAAACCCGATAACTGTTCACCAAATTCTGTATTTTTGTAGGTTTTCGTTTTACAAGTTATCATTTGTAAGTAAGGGCACATTTCAGTCCAAAAAGATCATTTATTAATATGATTACACTGCTCATATAAAGTAGTCTAACTGGGGAATCTAATAGGGCAGTAACTAACCTAATTAAGCACAACTTAACGGTTGATACGCTATACTTTGTTATACTAAACATTTACAGTACTATGGTGACCGTCTGTAGAACCTGCTATTGAATCGACTTATTGGTCATTACACTGCTAATAGTGAATTCTGTGTATTTATTCACATTTTCACACCATTCATCGCATATTATGCGAATTTCGGCATTATAAAGCCTTTTATGTTTTGAATATTCTCTTTCAAATGCTTTAAACCAGCTGCTTACGGTCTAGCGATATTCCTGTTTGGTCTATTCATCTGTCTGTTATCATTGTGTGGAATATGCGGAGTATGCTGTAAAAGCAAAATCCTACTTGGTACTGTAAGTTAACAAATTATTTATTTCATTTAAAACTTTTCTAATCGTTCTGTGAAGTTAGTGTTATTATATTCGCATATGATTATCTGAACTGCATTAAATTAGTCCTAGTGTGGTGTATGATGCTGATAAGATTTATTAATAGTGTATAAAGAGACGTTCATCGGCATAAGAACATCAAATATCAAGGAGATACATTTGATGTCTGAAAAGGTAAATGGAACAGTATTGTGCAGATAAATGGGAAATGTAAAAGGAACACAAAGATACACAATATGAAGGCCAGAAGTACCACAACACTAAGTTCTGTGAAAATTGTACATTGAAGTTAGGGTGTACATAATTTGGCTATATACAGATACCGATTTCCTAATAACCATTCCCCTAGCAAGTCTTTCGTCTTCTGCCGTTATACTACAACAATAGGTTATAGAGTCAGGACAAGTATACTTATCTTTTTCAGTTGGACCATTTTTAAAATCAGTCTCACTTTTTAGAGCTGTATAAAAGAGATGGTTAAAGTTTTGTGTTAGCTGATGATTTTCAATGGAGTGGGATGAAAAGCGCTCCTCTTAACTCTTCTTAACAGATTTTTTTTTACCCATGGAAACATGCATAGAAACCCCTAGCCTTTATTCAGTTGTCAAATAACTACTCGAATAAAATTCACACTTCATACTAGCTTGTTCATTACATAAATCATCTTCTTCCTCTTCACAGAACACGGTGTATGAAAAACTAAATTTCAGAGCTGTGAGGAAAAAACTTAATTGTGTTCAAAACCTCCTCCTGTAGAAAGTACTGCTTGACTGTGAGATGTATATCACAAATAAACCATACGGTTTAAGTTCTACGCTTATATTATACCGACTTTTTGATAAGGAAAGTTAAATAAGGTTAACTAAAATTCTGCGTTCCTATATATATATATTTCAAAATGTTACACAAAAATAACCTTTTTCAGGCAAGTGTTTAAATGCCCTATTGCTACTACACCCTAAAGTTCACCACCACACTGGCTGCTGATAAACAACAGATTTGTCAGCATTTTTAGAAATGTAGGAGAAATTATCATGCACTACGTAAAAGTGACCATTTTTCTTGCCTATAATCCAAATAGCTCTTTCATCTCCTATTAATATTTGTGCAAATCTATTTCCTTCCTTCATCGAACCCACTTTGCCGTATTCATTCCTTTAGTTGTTTTTTTTTCCTCTCTTTTTTTGTATTATTCTTCATGCGCCTAACAGTATCTTTCACTCCACTTTATTCATCTTTCATCACTATCACTATCTATTCATTGTATAGGGATGAAAGTAGAAAATAATGTTAATGATGAAAATATCAAATAATAAGATAAATTTCATATCAGTGCCATAAATAATTCCTAATACTTAACAGTTCTAGTTAATACTGCAAATGCGAAAACTACCATGAATGTCTGTATACGCATAGAGAGAACAGATAACCTTTTACTGATTAGTTTGAAAATTATATATGCACCTGGTTTATGCTTTCACATTTTCTGTTATCGTTTTTAGACAGCTGTCTGGTTTGTTGAATGAATTACAGACAAATAAGTGAAATAGATTCCTTACTGGTACAGTGCTCTTTCTCGCTCTCTCTCTCTTATTAGTAGGTATGGTTGGGAGTTTGTAGACAGATCTATCATGTGCTTGAAAACATACATGTAGATTTTGCAATAGTTGAGTACTATAACTGCAGAACACATTTTTCTGTTATGCTTTTATGAGAAACACACAGAGTGGTCATATGCCATGTGTCAAACTAATGCCAACTGAATATTTTAAAACATGGCTATCACTAGAACAACCTGTAAAAGTTGCGGGATTTCCTCATGAGCTGACATTGGTTAGAGAACCATTGGAAAACCTAGGAATACCTGGGGTTCTAGTGAGAAGTCGTGGCCAGTAGGGTGAAGCAGCTCAAGTATGAGGACAAATACTAGCCGAAAACATTGGCTAGGGGTCGTGCTATGTCCTGAATTGACAGAAGTTAGAATTCATGCGCTGGCCATTGGATCGGGTCTTAGTGGCTTAGTGGTCTATGAGCTAGCTCGCCTTGTAACCAAAAGGTCCTGTATTCGAGCACCGGTGGATGCGTACTCATGAAGAGTTCCAAACAAGGACGAAACAGCTGTCCAGTACTTCCAGGTTTTCCAATGGTTCTCTAACTAATGTCAGCTCATGATGAAATCCTGTAACCAATCAATCAAATTTCTACCAACCAATACTTGAACCTGTAAAAGTGTTCACCAAAATACGGGAATCGCATACATTTTGCCTTAAAGATGAAAACATAATCTGTTAACTGCCACTATCACTACTGAAAGTGTATAAATCTTAAGTGTTCATAAATCCATTTCTCATTTCGCCATAATAAGATGAAACCTTGCAGAGAATGAAATGTTTAGGCATTCCAGTCTATTTTCTCCATATACCAGTACTGATTTTTCAAAGTTATATGAATCCTGGCTTCAGCCATACAACTTCTTAAAACAAGGTAGTCTTATAAGCTAAAGGTGAGGTGGTATTTCAGCCATCAGTTGACATATGAGAATAAATTTTAACTTCATCAGTATCACTAACACATAGGTTGTTTCTTTTCTACGATTGGCACTTTTCTCCTGACATGTCCTTAATTTGTTCAAACAATTATATCAGGCTTCCATTATGGGTAAATTTTGTTTTGATAAAGTCTCACAGTGTTATACAGTGATATTTACTGTTTAGTGTATCAGTTTATGAGTTTCGTAAAGTCTACAGACTGTTTTCTATTCACTGAATACTGTTTGCGAATTATCCGAGAAAACACATTTCCAAGTTGGATGTAACACAAGGCTGATTTCTTAAACTGTCATCCTTATATCAGTTCAACTCAATCACACATATATTAGTAGAATAGTCTGTAATTGACTTTATAGACTTATCAGGGAATATTCTCATCAGCTTACCGTCTGCTGATGATATTGTCAACCTAGACTATGAGAAGTTACCCCTGAGGCTGGAAAATATGAAAAGGATACCGGTGTTTGATTATAGGTGTCTGTGTCTTATCTCATGAGTAAAGCAGTATAATATGGCGAGTGATGTTGAGGTTACGCATAAAGTGTCAGGTGAGGAGGGTAAGTTAGTATTCAAGGTAGGGAAGCTGAATAGTTTGAGATGGCTAGAACACGTGCTGGCATATTAAGCCATCGCCTCCCTCGAGAGATAATGTTAGCCAGCATATGTTAAGGTTCAAAAGGTCTTTGGGTCGGTCAAATGAAAAACTGGTATTGCTGCATCAAATCGTTGACAGTCAGCTAGAAGAACTACTAGAGATATGACTGAAAATCATTGTTAATGGCACAGATGCATTCACTCTGTGTAATCTCACGTATCTATTCAACTCATGTTTTTCCTTGTCACTATTTATTCTCCCTCACATTTTCGCTAGTTAAACTTCCATTTAGTTTTGCGTCTCAGCCTTTTTGTGCTACATGGAATGTGGTAAATTAAACAGGTGGAATTCTTTGCAAACTCATACTGAAAGCCAGTCAGAATGACACAGTCTAGGCATAACTAAATGCGAAACATTGAATAATGATCTTCGAAATGTCAACAAATGATAAGTGTGGTTCTTAATCTGGTTCTTTGCCAACTGAAAAATAGATACCTTGCAGTAATCTCTTCTTCCACCCAGGACTCGTCTTCTACATTGCAAGTGTTTTTTGTGCTCTGTCACTTGTGCTAAGCTTTCGGTCATTCAGCATTCGCTGTTGTTGTTGACTCAGGACCTAGATGACTTTAGTTAAATAAGGTTTCGGTCGTGCAAACACGAGTCCTGGGCAGTTGACTGGTTGCATTATCATTTCTCAAATAGAATGCAGCACACTGCTTGCTGAAGCTGGTGTTCCTCAGGGTACTGTTATCTCTCCTTTTCTTTTTTCTCTCTCATCTTACATGGCTTTTCTCTTTCTAATGAGAGCAACTTCGTCAAATACGTTGGTGATCTGACCATCTCACTTCCTGTCATGTCACAATGTGTTACCAGGAGGATTTTATTTTTTAGTTTAATCTTATATATAATATTGCGCATCGAGTTTGTTTTAGCTGGAAAACAGTGTTGTATAACTGATTTCAGGCTGATTAATGTAACCTGCAGAGCTGTTAACACATCAACTTGTTAGCGATGTGAACGTGAGTAACTCGACTTAGTGAATCATAAAAAATAGTAATCGAAGTTATACTGTTATAAAATGAGTTACTCAGTGAATGTTTTATAGGTCTATCATTTCATCCAGTGAAATTCACTGAACATGAATGGAAGTAATTATATTCTGCCTATCAACCTAGATACCATGGGTTGTTCTGTAGAACACATGGGGAGTGATGAGGTTCCCTTTGAACTTTACTCATCAATGCTAATTTCTTTGTTATCACTGAAAATTATTCAACGGTTCGCAAATGATAATTTATCTAATCCGATTTTTGATCATAACCAGTCGGCAGTATCCGTTTGAATGTTTCATCTGAATAACTTTGGTCATAATTTTTCAGTTTCTCAGCAATTTTTACAGGAAACTATAAAGTTTCTTAAGTAGTACCTTCAAAATCAGAGCTACTGGAGAGTTAACGCTTTTTAGTTCAAGACTCTACAGGAATGCTTATTCATGATTACGTGAAGGATCAAGAGTAGAGCAAAACGTTCGCCGAAATATTCTCTTAGCGGGGAGTAAGCTGCTACACCAATAGAAAAACTAACGTGATTCAGTAGGACAGAAACAAAACCTGGTAGCTCTAAGACGTTACAACAGTCACTGTTATTAGGACAAACATGTTATGACTAAATGCGATGGAATCAGTTATAAGCGTTGTCAAGAAATAATACCTCATTTGGAAACAACTTATACTACTATTGTTATCTGTACATGTATTTGTTGTGATATGTGCATATATTTTTTCCGCACTATCAGAACTAAAATATGGATAACGTAATCTGTTTTCTGTTTATTTCGACATTCTGGTTGTTAAATCTTAATTGGACTTCAGTATGCAGCATTCCTTCTGGTTATCTTTTTGGCTTTACTGGTGTTCACCATTGTATTTGGAACACGTAAAACTTGGGTAAGTGAAATTCATTCAAATTTATGCACAAATTAAAGTTGATTGTTGTGGCTCAAAGTTAAAGTTTATTTATTCTTTATTTTTTTTTTCGGCTGTTCACAGCTATCTTATTTCGAGTAGATTAAACTAGCTTTATTTATAGGACACATTCTAAACTAAAACAGAGATTTTAGAGAAGAAATACAACAGAAAAATCAACTTTCAAACGTAAACACGTATGTGTAGTCAATAAAATGTTGAATAATGAATATGTCTATTGTTTGCGACGAATTAATTCTTAAACACTAACATATAGTAGCTTTTTTTTCAAACTACTGATGGCCAGGGTTTGCACAGAATGAATTCAAAATGTTTCACTAGGCTTAAATTTCACAAACCAATTTTATAAAATGCTCTGTGTGATAAGTCAGTTATGTAATGTTTGTATAGTGTGAAAAAAAAATGGAATAAAAAGTTAGATTTCATCTGATAGCATCGTTATATAAATATCAATTTATGGTGGGAAGAAATTCGGCATACTTACCTTTGATTTCAAGGATAATTGTCTGTATTCATTTTCATTTAGAGTGAACTTAGTCTTCATTAAGTTCCGACGTTTAGAGCTTGCCTGAAATATACTTACCGCTCTAAAAATTATTTGAATTTGAGTCGTTAAAATTAGTGATACAGTTTCAATGAAACTTATCTTACTGAATATCTCTGATGACTAGGTTAAGATATCAGTGAAAAGCTTATACATTTATGCTTTTTATTATCATCATTATTCGAATACTTATTTCTTCCTACAAACGTTTTGAAGTATTTTAATGCACAGTGTAAGTGGCTGTAGTTGAACGCTTCCAGTCTATTGTTCATTCAGGAGGAGGAATGAAAATGACTGCTAATTTACTTCGAAATATATTATTGCTTACTTATATTTCCCGGTTTTGTTCTCTTCTTGTGATATTTCTACTCATCTTGGTGTAGTTCCGCGATGAACTGGGAATAAGTTATCGCAGATCAATTATCACTGAATATCAGATGGATAATAACTACCCACCAAAGAGCGGTTTCACTGTATTTGTGAATGAAATTCAACAAAAGGTAAGAGAATTTAGCCGTTGAATTTGATTTGTTTTTTTTTTTAATGGAAAGCTAAAAATTGCTGAATTACTAGTCTAAACTTGGCTATTTTAAAGCTTTTTTAAAACGAAGTATCCTGAACCGGAAAAAGTGAACTTTTTTGAGTGAGGAGTGACCAGCGCAAAAACCATAGAAAATATCAGTAGAGTAAATGTTGATATTTGTCAGTTGTCAGGTCTTGACTAAACACTTTATGTGAGAATAGGCGAGTTCGTCTGTCACTGTATAGGCGGAAATTTGCCGTACTTATCGCATTGTCCCTATCATCGCAGTATGATATCAGCCCTCATTTCTTAGTATTGCAGTTTACTGAATATTCCATAATGTTGTTGTATGATCTGACCTTATGGCATATTCGGCGTCAGAACTGTGATCGCTGTAACCAGCGCTTTTAAAATGTCAACAGTTTGCTGTGTAGTCCATATCTTAAATTGTGTCATTTGGTCTTTCAAAGGGTACAGCCAGTTAGTATTAGAACGTGATTTCTTGAAGAAATGTGCTGTAATTTATCAAAAAAATGATCCATGTGTATCAGAACAGCTCTTAATTAATATCTTCCTTAAACTGTATTGCCCTGATTCTGTAGTGGATGACACTACTTTTTAGTGTCTATTGCTCAGATTATATTAATAATTTTTAAAAAATAAATCACTTATTCCTCATACTAAATTTGATTCCTTTTTACTCACTAAATCACTCAGTAAAAGGGTTGACAGATCTTTATGCAAGAACGCTTATCTGAAAAGGATTAACAGGATTTCATCATGAGCTAACATTAGTTAGAGAACCATTAGAAAACCTGCACAGAGTACTGGACATCTGTTTCATCCTAGTTTGGGACTCTTCATCAGTACGCACCCACCAGGATTCGAAAACAGGACCTTCCGGTTACAAGGCGAGATAGCTCGTAGACCATTAAGCCACTGGGACCCGATCCAATGGTCCTTGAATTCTAACTTCTGCCAATTCACGACATAGAGCGACCGCTAGCCAATGCTTTCGGTGAGTATTTGTCCCGACCTTCTGCACCCTACTGGTCACGACTTCTCACTAGAATCCCAGGTAACTACCTACCTGAATAGGGCAAGTCGCTAGTGAGCATCTCATTGGTATTCAAGTGTTGGTTTGTAGGGATTTGATTGGTTTGCAGGATTTCATGAAGAGCTGACATTGGTTAGAGAACCATTGAAAAACCTGGGAGTACTGGACAATGATGAAATCCTGTAAACCAATCAAATCCCTACAAACCAACACTTGAAAAGGATTAAATTTGAAACATTGGCTGTATGCATGTTGTTTAATTTGGAAGCTTGAATGTTATGTTTAGATTGGTTACAATGCGATTATAAACAGTTTTTAGGCTTTTACAGTTGTGAGGATTTGATTTTAAGAGTTGTTAGTAATATGTGGATGAATTTCCTTATAATGAGGAAACGCGATTAGTGGGATCCATCAAGTTGACTTTTAAGTGTTATGCCCACAGATACAACAGGATGACAGTGGCTCAGCATCACTATCAGAGAGCTGTTAAGACGCATGACCCTGCGGATTTCAACGTATTCACTGAGTGGTCCTGAGTTCGACCCCTGAAATACCTTTAGTTTGAATTAATAAAGAGTTCCAAGAAATACGAGAAAATAGATGTTCAACGCCTTTTAATTTACACTGGTTTTCTGACTGATATTTGTCCGTAAAGAAACCAACCTTGGAAGATTTATCGTCCAACCCTTCAAGGTCACCGATAATATGACTGTACCGTAATTCATAGAAAATCCCCATTCGAACATTAGTAGAAGACTGGTAGTTCAGCGAAGAGCATCTTTTCGGCGAATTAATTTTCATAGTTGTACAATCGCAAATATATATGGTTGTTTTGTATGTGTGTACATTAAATTGTGTCTTCGTTTCGCATATTTAATGTGCACACATATACAAATTAACCATATATATTTGTGATGGCACACCCATGAAAATGAATTCGCCGAGAAAAGACTCTTCGCTGAACTACTGGTCTTCTGTACCACAATTCCTGTTTTAAGCGCAATAAAGAATTTCACTTACCATGGTTTTCTTGTTCTGAATTTTGTTTTAATCTAACGGGAAATATTTATTGTCTTCGTCTAAAGTTGTGGCTTTAAAGTTTTTCTGAAGGACTGTTCAGATTACTGGAATTAAACCAAGTGTTACTAATGCATTTCGTCTAGAAATTCAACCGGCGTAACTGAGTTTTCAGACGATCATGGTACCTTTCAGTGAGTGAGCTTGTCGATATTAGATGGTTTCAGGCAATCTTCAGGAAGCCTTGCACCTAGGTTTCGCAAGCTTGAAGGAACTCATGTCTATTCTGAGATTCGAACTTTAGTCACCTAGTTCTGCAGTCAGTGACATTACCACTGAGCTGTTAGGACTTGCGATTGTCATCACTTCTGTAATATCGCTAAATGAAAACAGAATTGCCGCCTAAAATGTTGAGATTTTAAATGTCTTTCTCATAGTTTCTATTTCGTAATAAAATTTGCCTAGAAGTTTCTTATGTTCAAATAAACAATTATATTTATAACATTCAGTAATAAATTAGAGGAACACGTGAACAACAAGAAACCTCAGTAAGGCGTGACAAAGCCTAAAATAAATAACTAGACAGGAGTTAAATTTTTAAAGGCATTTTAGCATACTGTTAAACTTTCATTCTGGTTTCCTGCAATCATTATCTCTCCTCTAAAGTATTGACAAAAATATATTTTGCTATTGCCCACATATACTAAAAGCAGCCTCTTTTTCTGTCAATTTTATTTACTTAAGCACAAATGTTGCGGTTCTTTTGACTATCGTGACTTCCAAGATAACGAATCATTCAAAAGACAGAATTGTAAGTATTCTTTCTTTTTTAGAATATTATGCGTTTTCTGGATATGCGTGTCTAACGCTTCAAAGTAGTCGTAATTCTTTGTCTTCTGAATAATTTTGAAAGATAGACTTACAATCGTCTTTCCATGGCCACAGGTGAGATCAGACAGTGGCGTATTACAACCAGCAAATACCGATTGGTATTTTCCATTCACCCCTGAAGTTTCATGAATTATTATTCTTTGGGTACTTATTTTTTTGACGGATTCGAAAATATGTTATCTGACGTCTTATGTCTCCAGGTTTATTAAACAAATGAACATGTAACATTTTTTATTGACGATGGACTAATCGCCCCATATATAAAAAAAACTTTCAGTTTCTTCTGTTGTTCTGTTCTCCAAACAGAGTAATTTAATTGTGAAGCTTGCGTTTCGTAGAGTACACAAGTACATCAAAAACACCAACCTGAGTCACAAATCCTCTTCATTATTTCGAAAACTTACACAAAGTAATAAATGACCGATATCGATATGTAAAATAGCAATAATTTTCTTTCCGATGAATATATTCTAATTTAACAAAAGTAATTAATGTGTTATTTCACCATAAGGTGATGTGGTAATATATATATATATATATATATATATATATATATATATATATATATATATATATATATATATATATATATCAACTTAAATGATTAGCTGACAGTCACTCTGTAGAGGTGTATATTTTTATTCGTCATGCTGACATCTTTCATTTCTATGTGAAATGTTTTGGTGCATTATTTTATCTGTTTTTCAGGTTTAATTTGGCTGATCAAATAAGTACACAAACTACACTCAGTTTTTCAAAAGAATGGATACTGAACAAAGAATACTCTTTTCGATAACTTCATCATCAGGCTCTACAATTATATATACATTATGGTGAATGAATGAATTAGTGTTATGAACAACATTATTGTTGTTTAAATAACATCGAATCAATAACATCAATGGATTACAGCTTAATAACATCAACATAAAATAAGCTGAATATCAGACAAATTAGGAAAAATAATAATACAGAATTCATGAATATACAGGCTCAACAGAAGGCCAGGGCAGTAATAGTGGTTGGACTTGCTTGCTTCTTCTTCACACAAAGCACTGGTTGTTTCACGCGAATCACTATATCCTCTGATGTTTGGAGTATGAGATACCTGGATGTTTTGGCGGTTTATCAGGCACCCGGTAGATTATGGAGAAGGATTCTTCCACGCTGGCTGGCTTTGTGGCCGGCCGGTTTGCACCAGATGGTCCAATATCGAACTGTTAATGGTTTTAACTACACCTTTACTTAGCTACAGTCGCAGATGTTCTCGAGTACGAAAAATCAAGTTCCTAGAGCAACGGCCAGTATAACTCGCTCCGTCACAAGCGCAGTTGAATTTGTAGATACAATTTGAAGTAGCTGGTCTAGGTACTTCATCTTTCAGTCGAGGTAGCACCGTTGGTCGTGTCGAGAAAAATACGTGTAGTTCGCCTGCAATAAAAATTCTTTGAACTGATTTTCCTAATTTCCTTGTAATTTTATCACTTGGTATATCGTCCTTGAATTGTAGTCGTATATAAAGTGGCTTCTTGTTTACAGATAGTGAGTAGTCCTTTTCCGCTTTCTTTGTCACGTCTTTCTTGATAATTTTTTTCGGGACAGCTATTTTCGATCAAAGTATGATACACAATGCTTAATTCATCTTTAATTACTTTTTCTGAGCATATAGCTCTAACTCTGTGGCTGAGGGTCTCCACTAAATTCTTTTTGTACTTGATAGGTACGAAGCTTTCTGTTCTAATGAGATATTAAAATGAATCTAATAAACTCCTCCACTTCCCTTTCGAAGACATATTAGACACTTTGAAAGCACTAAAGACCAATATTCAGATATCTATAATCAATCCGGAAGATAATTTCCTCATAAAATCCTGTTCCACAGCCATAAATTGTTGCATTATTAGGTTAAACGTGGTATTTAGCGAATAAAACTTGAAAGGATATATTTTCACTAAATTTGACTTTTCTGACTTGTTAACATGCAGTTTAAACCACGGATGCTCGGTATGTTGATATTTAGCACAATATGGTGGCGTGCTTAAATAAATTTGCATGAACACTCCGAGCATATTTATACACGGTTAGGAGAACATTATGAATATGCGGTAACATTTTGTAAAACCAGTTTACTGAAATCTAATAATTTAAAAATCTCTAATCTTTCTTTTTTTTTCTAGATAAAATTCCTGCATCATGTTGCAAAGATATGAACAACAAAGAGTGCTGGGAACGTCCAACCTCACAGAATAGTTATAGAGACAATGTAAGTTTGATTCTGGGAATTTTGTTTTTAGACAATAAAATTGCTTGTTTCCAACAGCCCTTAAACTTAATACAGTCGATTATGACACCCGAGTTATGTAAATAACTGGAATCGATATGTTTGTCTTTACCAGACAGGAAAAGGAAATGTTATATATTACTAATGTGGGTGCTGCACAGGTTGCTCAGGGCTAATAAAATGCCTTGATGAAGTGTTAGCTTTTCTTCAATATCTAAGGAACCTTATTTATATATTTCATTAGGTTAGAGATAGCCGGCGAAAAAGTATTATTTACTGTGACTAACAAATTCTTATGAACAGAAACATAGATTAGATAGTTTAAAATTAGATAGTGAAGAAAAAATGGTTAATTTTGAAATTGTCAGTTCATATACACGTAAACCAATATATACATATATATGGTTATAAAGGTAGTCAGAAACGCACTCATTTTCGACCAAGAAGTCGAACTTAGGACGAAAATGCCACTTGAGGACATAACGCTGGAAGTGCAGCTATGTCTGACTTCCACAGTATTTAAACTCCAAGGTAAAATATACAGACAAACTGAGGGACTTGCCATAGGGTCAGCAATATCCCTGGTTTTGACAAATATATTCATGGATAGGTGCAAGACTTAACGACTGAAACGTTCAGGCCAACCAAAAAGTATGATGGAAGTATGTAGATAACACATTTACTGTGCTTAGAACACAGAACATGAATAGATTTTTCGAACACACGAACTCAATGATGGATTAAATTAACTTATGAATTGGAAAGTCAGGAGGGGAACTTCCAATGTTAGATTGCAACGTAAAAAGGAAAGAAGATGGGAAGTTAAACACTAGTGTTTACAGGAAATCCACACATTCAAACAGATATTTGAACTCCGATCATCCCATCCTATGTCAGTAAAAATAAGATTGGTGGAATGTTTAAGTAATAGGGCACAAAGACTAAATAGTACCAAGCAAAATCAAAGACAGGAAGTGATATATATATATAAGAAAAGCTTTGAAACTTAATAATTACCCTGATAAATTAATCAGGAAGTATGTAGGTAAATGTAAAAATAAAATAAATAATAATAGTGTTAATAATGATAATAATAATAACAATATTAATGACGACATGCATGTCGAACACGCGCAAAATAATGACAACACCAACAATAGGGAATATAAATCATCAGTAGTACTTCTATACAAAGAAGGAACCTCGGAAACCTTACGCATAATTCTTAACAGTGCAGGAATAAAGGTGGCATTCAAACGCACAAACACAATTAGAAACAAGCTTTGTCGGTTAAAGGATCCTGTGGAGCCAACTAAACAAACAATTTAGTTTATCTGATACCCTGCAATGATTGTCACGTCAAATACATAGATCAAAGTAGTAGAACAGGGGCAGTCAGACTAGCCGAACATAAAAACCTAGCAAAATCTAGATTAGTTAACCCAAACAAGATAAGAAACCTAGCGAATAGTTCAGCTATAGCACTATATGCAATTACACACAACCATACAATAGTATGGGATAAGATGAGTTTTAATATCTGATGTCACAGGGTAAAGGGAGAGATTGATAACGGAGGCTTTATTTATCGAATCAACTGCAAACATGTGTAATAGGAATGATTTAACACCTGTCCCTGATATTTGGAAAATTCTACTACCCCTACGACAAATAGGAGAAAATAAAGAAAACTATAAAACTCAAGTTTCGAAGTCATGTGATTGTAACTGATATGATTATGAACAATAAATTTTGTTCGAAACCTTGTCATCCAGTAAATAATACTGTTTCACTGTGTGACATATCTAATAAACAAAAATAATGTGGAATTATTTACTACCATAGTGCACAAGTTTCACGGATATGTATTAAGAGGTAACCGGAGTTGTTTTTACCGTCAAACTGTTAGAGTCCTGTGATCATAAGTGTAGTGTAGTGACAGCAGAATTTGATCAAGAACTAAAAAGATTAAGAAAGAAGAGTTCTGTTATTCATTCACTGCATTCATTACTTTTTGTAGACTTAATTACGTCACAATGAAGGATTCACTAATTTAGTTTAACAGATGGCGTGCGGATAGAATTATTTAGGAATTAAGAGAAATGTTATTCTTGAAAGTAGATCTGGTTAAGTGTACAACTTGTAGAAATTAACTGAGTTGACTTCCCTTTATTGACTTAGAAGTGAAGCTCTTCTTTATTTTACTTTTAACCTGTTTTATCTCTAAAGTGTGTACCTTCATTCCAGTCCTATATTTTCCATTTGAAAAGACCACTCATATCGCTCGTCTGCAGTAAATTAATCTTAACAGCTAATTACAAGAAAATAAAATTCAAATTCTTCTAAACAATCTATATGAGCAAAGTGTCAGAGTAAAACAAGACAACTTTACTGGTACATCACTGTACAGTGTGGTTTCGGCACACAATGATGACAAATATAAATAAAACATCAAGCATATTAATAAGCAGTTACATATCAGCGATTTTGATTTGAGGTGGATGTCCCTAAATTTTGATGGCACACTATGCCTATTTGGTTATAAGTTAATATCTTAAGAAAGCTAAGTGTGAAAAGTGACACTTGAAGACAGTTTTAAAGCATCATGAATATCTGTGGTAGGTTTGTTCTTATTAATAAAAGCTAACTCTGTAGTCAAATAATAAAATGATTACTATGATACCTAGCACCTAGCACAGGTGATTGTCTATTGTCGTGTAGATCCAAACTGTTGTGCTTGTGTCTTTAGTTTCTAACTTCTCTTTATCAGAAAACACTGGTGCACTTAAACAATGCATATATATATATATATATATATATATATATATATATAAGATTAAGTTAAACCAAGTCCTTTTCACATTTGGGCTAAGGACATTTTCTGACATTGGCTTTAGTTTTACAACATACGGCTATTATTCCATTTTTCAAATAATATGAAGTCCTCGTTTGGCCAAGTTAAACTTTAAGCACCACTAACTACCAATCAGTGAATGACCTCGAATGGTTCAATGAGGATCGTGCACGTGAGTTCAAGGTTGTATTCCGCTTGATTCGTATCAAATGCCTGCTCTAACGAAGTAACGCTTGCAGTTCGATGAGGTTAAGGTTTTTACAGTATTGCCTAGATTTGAGGTTGCTTAGGAAGGAGAGGATTTGTTCATGTGGAGGTGTCATGAGTTTAAAAAGCTTTGCTAGGTCGATTGATGGACATACTCATCGTTGTACAATTTAATTGAGACGATTTAGTATAAGGGAATATAAGCTGATGATTTTGATATTTCGTAGGGACATTTTTTGTAATTACTGGGTTTTAAAACAGCCTGTGAGAGCCACAGCTGCTGAAACTGAAAAAAAGCCTCATGTTAACAGTTCAGTGGGATCAGCTTTGCAGAGACATCGCCTTACGGAAAACGGAGAGAACTACTTCGTTGTTAGGCGGAGAAGGTGTCGTTGTACACGCGGACGAAACTGTCTTGTTGAAGAAAAAATAGATATGTGGTGGTGAGCGAGCCAACAATGTTTGGGTGATTGGTTTATATGACACCTCCCTGCGGAAAGGATTCGTGGAGAGAATACCAGATAGAAAGTCTACTACCTTAGTACCTATTATTACTAGACTGGTGAAACAGGGACCTATAGTACATACTGATGAATGGAAAGATTATAACATGCCATCATTCCTTGGATATGTTCATCATAAAGTGAACCGTTCCAGTGATTTTTTGGATCCAATTACAGGGACAAACACGAATTCCATAGAAGGATTTTGGGGAAGATCTAAAAATAGGATTAGGGTTATAAATGGATCTTAAAAGGATGTCATTTATAGTCATTTGGGATGATAATATCTACAGAATGTGGTGTAACTTTTCCATTGACACTCCAATGCTAAATGTTTCTGTCACATGTTAGAGAATGATACCCTATGTAACAGTATTATTCAGTTTTTATGCTTTTTTCATAAATATACGTTTTCCATAATCGAAATCCCCTCTCTCATGTGATTGGTTCGTTGAAAGTTGTTCACTGATTGGTAGTTAGTGGTGCTTAAAGTTTAACTTTGCCCCCACTTTAAGTTGTAGGATATGAAGGATTCACAATTCTACTATTTTTTTACCTTATACCTTTAGTGGAGAATTTAACATTTTAATTCAGAAATAACTGCATAATAATCCTTCTTCCTTATTTTTAGGGTTGTTTCGAGTTTCTGTGGTCAGCTGCACAACCAAGCTTCCAGATTATTCTGTACTCACTCATCGGTCTGTTAATATTGACGGTTAGTAAACAATATAGACTATTCTTATATTTTATATCTGAGATTGAACATTTGTATAACTCACAAAAAGAATTCAGAGTGCTATCCTGCTTGTAATTTTATGGATACTATGAAATTAATAGAAATTTAATATAGATTGTTGGATTATATAAGACATCAGCCACTTCCTGTTGTACTGAGCGGTAAAGAATTCCTGTTTGTATACAGTCAGATGCTCTGTGCATTCACAATCTTTTATCAATGAATGCGATTAGTTTAATAAGATCTGCTCACCAGTGTTTGATAAGAAATAACAATGATGACTTGAATTCCGAGTGGAAAATAGAGCTTCAAGCCTTAAAGTTTCAGCAGTGGTGGTGATATTTTTTACAAAATGGAGTTGCTTACTCCACCCGGAATCTTCCCTCCTTTTCAAGCTTACCACAGCCTGGTAAAATAGGTAAGGTCAGCTGGGAATCGAACCCTGTTAACCAGTAAGATCGACTGATATTCCTGAGGAAAAATTTAGAATATGATAGTTTATGCTCGTTGATATAACTATGTCAATGTGAATACACTTTTGAATTAGAATCACAGCTTAGCTTTTTTAGACCAATGCACAAAAGTGTTGCACTAATCTTATTTACTGTGAACTTACGGTAGTTAAACCTGTTGTGACTTTTCCTTTTGCTAGATGTCAAACTTAGCGACTCTCTAAACATCGGGACGACTTAATTTGAATGGAATTTATGCGGATAACAATTAAAAACTATTTGTTCCCTAATTGTGGCAAAGACTAATTTGCAATTTGGTTCTGAACGGTCATATTGCATGTTGATCTTATTTCCATTTGTTGCAACGTATCAATAAGTCTGACGGTAGCCAAAACAGAATTAGCGAAACCTTAGACTCTTTCATGATGTGAAGCTTTCGAACTATGTACTACTGTTCACTTTGTTAGTAAATATTCTAAATTCCAATTCCATAACGAAGGAGTCAGCAGTGTGGAGATGGACTTCATTATACGAGGAATGCATTGACAACTGTAGAAGCTGAGCATATCATGTTTAACCTAACTTCAAGTAGTAATGACGACACTAATTACTTATTTCAAAAGTAAAGTAGAGGAAAGCGATTAAAAGCAAAGCTAAACTCTATCTCTGAATGTCTTGAATTTGTAGCTATAACTGGACTAAATGCCAGTCACCATCTGGAGGTGCTGTATGGTCTTTTCTCTAGAATCCTGGTCTCCTCCAAAATGTCTAGTAATATTTCCTCGTAGTGTGCAGTAATCAACAAAGTGAGAAATGTCTTATGTCTATCTGCAAGCGACTGAATCCAACCCCTCCCCCCAAAAAAACTTCAATTGTACTAGTGAAGAAATAGCAATAGAAAGTAAGGAACAATGCAGAATAAAGTAATACAAAATCCTGTGACCGTATAACAGGTCTCTTGTTAATTACCAGTTCCTATAAACACTCACGAAAGTTTAACTAGAATGATGCTTGAGCTATTTTGTATATTAAAGTATGGTTTCATGGATTTTCAATAGTTACAAATACAGAGACAGCGGTCTAGTCCTAATAGCCATCCAGTTGATGAAAACCTCATCAGAGAATCAATCTGGCGCCTGCTCAGTTATCACAGTAATTCTCCAATATTTGTTGAGGTAATATATCAAAACAAATTGGTATTGAGATATCAGGTTTGTGGAAATTAGAATAATTTCAGTATAGATTTTGTCAGGAATCGACACCATTTGATGAATAACGGGACAGTTGTCTCGATGGGGACTACCCATACATAAAGCCACCAAAGATCAAATCTATATTGTTTATGTCACGAGTCAAACATGCTTACTATATTGTTCTTGCGTGAAAAAAATGTACACTAGCAAAAATTCTTTGTCTCATTGCAAATGAAGTTGTTGTTTTTTCTACTTTGATTTTTTTTAATTATTTGTGTAGTTTGTCTTCGCGGTTATCGCCATCTATCTGCTAACACGATATTCAAGGGAGAAAATCCAACTACTTTAAGCATATTATTACAATAAACTCTTCTCTTTACCCATCCAATTATGATACCTATTCATCTGAACTCTGCAAATTATACCCTGTACACGTAGAGAAGTGGACGTTTAAAATATCATGTTGAATATAAAAAACTTAACAAGTATATGATTTATATTATATGATCATCAATCATTATTGTGAGTACCATTATTATTCCCATTATTTTGGCAAACAAACTCCTGCTACCGAGCAATCAACTATAACAATATATAATGCCAACAAAGCATCTCATAATTAAATATCGAAAGCTTAATTTCTTCACCGCTATGTTACCATGTTTCCATGCTTTCATATACGCTATCCTGTTTTCTCTTTTACAAATTGAGGCAAGGAGAGTCAGTCGTGTTATCTTGAAAGCCTGAAAATAGAAAAAAAAACAACAGAATGGAATATATATATATTTATATATATGAATCCTGCAGACTCATAGTATCACCGCAAGTCGTCTGACGTGGCCAAATGGATTGCTTTATCAATTTACTTTATATTGTTCCATACTTACCTATTATATTCACCAATTAAATGCTCACCCTGCAGGATGAAACAGCACATATATTTATCTATGACTATTCGTATTTTGTACCAACCTACCGCCTTAACCTGAGCTTATCTGCTTACACTTTCCTTATGTTCTACGACGTTTTTTTTCTAGTGCATACGCGATTAAATATCATTCATATTGGCTTTTAATAATTATGTCATAATCTTTTTTTTTGCTTAATTTGTGCATAATAAATATTGAATATCATTTAAAAAAATATATATAATAAAGTTTCCCTATTCATTGTTGTTTATACTACTCATTAGAGTGAATTAGTAGCAATCATTTTTCAGCTTAATTTCGGTTGTGCGACAATCACACAACCAGTTGAATTCCAACCTTCTAATAATACGTGTGACATAGTTGTATATTACTAGGTTCTACTGTTTGGCTGAAATACAGTAATCGAATTGTAACAATTTTCTTTTCTTTTTAAGTGATTCATACATAATTCTACAAAACAGATCTCCGTTTCAACCAATGTCGTCAGTCTACCTTATCTTTTACTAAAATAGTTTTTATTGGTCATAACTCAGAGATATAAGATATTTGAATGGACATTATTTGCAAGTGTGACCAATCATCGCTTAGTCTGCTTACCCGTTTTACAAATTCTGACTATCAGGTCAACAGTGCATTGACTTATTCAAGTTATAAGGAAGTAATCTGAGAGTTTCATACATTGACGAAAGTGGTTTCACCGATACTGTGTATCGTTGAGCTGATAAGAGACACTTACAGAAACCTATCGATTACCTCTACCCTCTGCAATCCTGTGAGCTTAAGAAATCCCAGTAAGTATTCATATTTATGTACAAGGCTGATAGGTAAAGTATAAACCATCACATTCATGTACACTACCACTCATGCAGCATTCAAACAAGTAAAATTAATTGTGCACTGATGCAGTGATTGTAAATCACGCAGAATTTAGTACCCTGATACCTGCAGCATATTCATACAAAGCATATACAGCTTCATAAATTGTAGAAATATCTTTCTTAGAATGTATAGGCTTATAAAAACAAGCTTAGCAATACGATTGCAAAATGTGGATAACAAGGACAGTTAACGAGTAATATTTTAATTTTTATGGTATCCTGAGCATATATACATAATCAAGGGGAATTCAGATGTCGGGGCTAGTGAAATAATGCAGCAGTAATTAATTCTTTCAGGTGGAAGAAAGCTGGGCGTTTTGGAGTCACACATGTGCAAGACGCTTCCCGTAGACCATATGTATATATAATACTGTGTTGTTCAAAAATCTCCAGCTAGGAAGCATATTGTTTGTAGATGTAGGGAAACAGGCGTCAGCTTGAAATTATTAATTCGTATAAATTTATATCTTGGGCTACTTAATATACTACAAATTCTTTGGAAAAATAAACTGTAATAAATTAATTAGACGGCAGAAATAAACAGTGATATACGACGGAAAATGGAGCCAGCTGTAGATCTTTTCTTTTTCGAATTTTCTCCGCTTCCATATTGGTGAAATTTCTTATAATAACTACAGGGATTTTGTATGAGGTATGGGATAAACTATCTCCAGTGAATTCAGGTATAGTAACCAGGACAGTTTGAAGCATTAAACTTAATTAGTCATTTGCAAATCTTTAAAAATTTTCCTTTATTATAGCTTGATTCCACACAGTATTTTGGTGCAAGTTTGGAATTTTCAGCGTGTGATATTGATGCACAAATGAAGGTGGTCAATCACCACCGCTTTTTTCGCAGACTCAAAACATTCAGATAGCATTATCTAATCTGCTTGATTTCATAAATGGTGACTAAGAAAACCAGTAATATAACATAGCGTGATATACTGCTGATTGTTGTGCTTAGTTAGTTATCACTCACACCAAGCAGTAGGGCATCTGTTCGCCTCCTCCGGGACCTAGATCATCAGCTGAGTACCTAGTTGTGTTTGGCTACGAGAGTGGAATCATTTCCAGTATGCCAAAGTATTGTTACTAGTTTTTCAACACGGAATACGAAGCTCACAACTAAGATATGTTGCGGGGTTGGGCACTTCAATTCAAAGTACAAAATTCTTCTGTTTAACAGATAACGCTTTCTACTGATTGGCTCAACTATTTAATCAATATTCATCTAGTAACAGAAGGCACATTTTCATTCTACAGCCAGAATCACTTTTCTTTTCAGTATCAAAATAAGCAAAGTTACATATGGAACACTTCGAAAGTCTTACGCTAAAACTGAAGAGATTCATTTCCAGATGGTTCTATAAATAAACCTCAAGTAAAGTAACGAAGGAATTACCGTTAATCATTAAATTTCTCAATGCGAAAAACTTCGTCACTCGCCAGCCCTTGATGGTATCTTTTAGCTAAATGGACCCAATAAAAGATAGGCGCTGGAAAAATATGTGGTTGATAAAACTTCAACTGGTGTTCAGTTATAATCCATTTGTTCATGATACGATCCCCACAAAAATAGAATATTGGTCTCTGATTCAGGTGAACGCAATAAAATAGAGAGAAGTAGTAGGACCTGATGGCTTGTGATACATGAATCATTAATTACACTACTGCACGACAGAATCACGTACCATACTATGTCACAGCTACAGGTAGTTAGAATACTCACTAGTTAACGGTGTCCGAATCCCCCCATCCACTAATTGGAATCTGAGTGTATTCACAGATCTTCGCAAGCCTTGATTACAGCTTTCAAATTTAGCATAGGAACATTCAGGTAGATTGATGTGAAAAAACAGAATTTTCCTTTTCATATTAGTTCATTATTCCCTGAACTTCTCAATTCTTTAAATGAGAACTATCTTCACCCACAGCTTCCGTTGCTTTATTTCTTTAGGAAATCAAAAGCGACACATGTCTAAAGTACTTTTTATTACTGGCATTAGAACAAATGATAATTATCAAATACTTTTTTCGGATTTTTCATGATGAGACGTAACATTTATCAAAAAAAAAAACATGCGAACAAGGAAAAAGTTAGAAATCAGGAAACAGCCACAAACAGCAAGAAATAGCAAAGTTCACAGAGATGATGAACAAACTTATGTATGTTTGTATGCGTATTTCTAGACGGATACACAAAATATTACACTTAGCAGTGTGACTATTGGCAATTGTATAAGGAGTAGTAGAAGGTAGTAGTAGTAGTAGTAGTAGTAATGATAGTGACAATAACAATAATCTAGGCAATTTTGAATACTCCTCAGATGAAGGGAAAGTCTACTTGCCTTTTATCATCAATGTAGATATGATTTGGATCAGTGCTTTGGTGCAGATCCTCATGTGTACACCTGCGTTTACTACACTGGGCTTAACAAACTTCTCATGATTTCAAAAATATTAAACCTTAGATTTTTTTTCAGTAGATTCTCTGTTTAAATTGTAATAAAGAGAGAGAGAGATAAGCTTTCTCTGCAAACACCGAATAAGTTGTTGCAGTATCCAGAAAAATGAAGACAAATGATTGACAAACAGAAGAAAAGCAAACAAAACAAAAAAGGAAAACACATACACGCAAAGGAAATATGCAAAGACAAACCAAGAGGAATACAGAACGTAAGCTTATCCTATAGGAGAAACATTGGTGTATTATGTCAAATGTTATATTTTTTGATGAAGTAGGTGAACAAGCTAAATGTAATAGCGCGGATGCCACGTGCACACTTCAGTCACTGCTCAGAAATCTTTCAGTGGTAAATAATTTTTTTGCTGATGATTAAAGAAGAAAACAAACTAGAAAGAAATTCGGATGAAAATGCAAACGATTGCCCACGTGTGCGTGTGTATATATGTGTATATGCGCGCGTGTGTGTCTGTGAATTGTCACTACCACTTTTCCAAAAAAAGAATAAATAGCTCAGAAACACAGAGTAAAGTAGAAGTAAACAATATTTGTGTTATTCTTCTAGTAGAGGTTGTTTTCATCTCAAGAGGAGAATAAATTCCCATATTATGAATAGTTTTCTTTTTCTCTTCAAAAATACTTATATGAGATATAAGCTAACATATAAACTAAGTATAACATGGAATCCCAATGATCGTTATAACAATATTATTAATGATAATAACAATGATAACAATAGTAATAATAAAAATAGGCTCCAATCAGCAAACATAAAAGATGGAGATGACAAGCATCAATTCCTGAGCACCAATCGAATCCTCTGAAGTGTATGCGTGTTCACGCAAGCAGAAGCATTTATAAGTAATTAAACATCTATCTTAAATTAGCAGTTTTTATAATTCCACCGGGACCTGGAAGTTGAGTTTTACCCATTAAATCAAGATCCACTTGACGTGCTGCTTGCCTGCCTTCATTTATTGCATGTACCACTAGCGATTGACCACGTCGACAATCTGAAAACAAAAGTGATACAACTTAGAAATGCTTAAAATAACTTTTTTACTACAGAAAATGT